TGCTCTGCTCTTCTTATCTTCTGAGCACCTGTCGCCTTCCCGAATCCCAGTTCGAGTCCCAGTCCGAATGTCGGGGATCTGGATGCGCAGACAAAACGAAAAGGTGCGCTTAAATTCTTATAATGACTTGCCTCGCGTCCTCAACCTGCTGATCCTTCCTCTTGTGGCATCTTCCTTTGTGTGCGTGTGACTTTGTGTGTGTGTGCGTGTGTGTTTCGTGAGTTGTGCGTTGCATCTTTGGCCGCAATTTGTTGCTCATTGTGTGCGTGCCTCCGTCTGCTGTTGCCTCAAAATCTGTCTATAATCTGTGTTTTAGGCCCATGCCACAATTGATTTCAGACTAAGCCTGAAAACCGAAAACACCTTGAGATCGGCCTCTGCCTCTGCGTCTGCCCCTACCTCTCCCCCATTCCGCCGGCGCACTCTTGGGTCTTCCATCCCGCCTCCACCTCCGCCTCCGTCTCCGGCTCCGGCTTCGTCTTTGCCACCGTCGCTTTGACTTTGCACCTTTTCTCACAAAATCCGTACAAATTTCGTGTTTAGATTTTGTCATTTTAATTGCCGGGACTTGGCTTTTGGCTTTGTGTTTTGTTTTTGTTCTGTTTTGACATTTGCTTTCGGCCCGATTCAACGTCTTCCAACCCTTTGCTAAGCCCTCGGATCGTTGACTGTTCACCGTTCGCCATACACTTTCCCCTGCCAGCCGTACCCTTCTACCCTTCTACCCTTCTACCCTTCTACAGTTCTACCCTTCCGTGGCCATCTCTTTTCCTGGCTTCTTGCCAATTAAGCTGTTTAAATAGATTTCACAATTCGTTCTGTCTTGGCCCAGAGGAGGGTTGATTTGCATATTTGACTTGGATTTGTCAATGCATTCGCTGCATTCAAGTCGAAAGAGCTTAAGATTTCCTCCGCCCTCAAGATGGGGGCAGGGCAGGACTAATCTTCAACTAGTCATTGACACGGCATTCCATTGGCTTCGCTTCGCTTCCGATTTGGCCAGCGAACTTGGCCAAACTGTTGTTGCTTTTTGTTCCATCAGTCTCGCCCTCAGTCCAGCCTTAGCTGACGTCTGATTCGTTTCCAATCTCAACCTCAAAAGAAAGGAAAGCGCAGGACAAGTCTCTTGGTGACTAGACCAATCCATATGTGACACATTCCAAGCACAATTTGTCCATGCTAGTTCTCTGGCTCCCATGTAGAACTAATCAAAACCTATGACTACTGTAAGGAGTCAGAAGTCGTTGAATATGGAAGGGAATATCCTGCCGGCATCACCTGTCCTTAAGTGTCCATTAACATCGTGCTATTCCCCATTAGAGTTCATCATTTAACAATCAATTGCCTACAAAACTCCAGATCCAGCCAGGTGACAATGCTCAATCAAAGAAAGACGAAGCAATCATAACTTATCAGTTTCAATTCCACAAAAGGCCAAAAGGGAAGAGGCGACAGCCTGTGCAGCGGACAGGGGACATGGTACAGGGCAGAGGAAAGAGGAAAGAGGGGGAACGAGCGAAGCCGGAGGCCTGTTAAAATTGGGTCACTTTTGGCCTGGCCGACAAGTCGATCTTGTAATATCGATCGAGCGTGACAGGTGCAGAGGTGCACTTACAATTGTTGTTGCACCTTCCTTTTCCCTGACTCTCCCTCTCACCATCTCCGACCGATGTGTGTGGATTTTGTATCTCGTATCTGAGAGTACTCGTACATATATTAAGCGACAGCTTGTGGCTCAAAACACACACACGGCATGGACTCCCCTGAGGGCCTAGATTAGATGCAGATCTCTCTGCCTTCAACTCGAATGTTTTTGCGGTCTGTCTGTCTCTGAACGAAAGATTTTTATGACTGTTGCATCTTTTGGCTTCTGCTGCCGCTCCTGGCTGGTGTCGTGTGGCCCATGTCAACTCAGTGCCTTGTAAGTCTGGGCCCTGGTTCTGGCTCTGAGTTGGGCTGCTGTTGTAATTTGCCTCCTGGCATATGTTGGCCGCAAACCGGCTTTGAGCACGCGTCGAGACGCTCGTCCTGGCTCAATAATTGAGCGCCAAGCCACGACGGCGACGACGACGACAGGTTCCAGGATTCCGGGACGGCAGCAGGTGCTTGGCTTGGCCCAGCAAAAGGGAATTGGAATCGGAATCAGCGCCAGGCTGCAGCTCCTCTGCCTGCTTACAATGAAAGGACATAAACATAAATGAGCCGATGTAATGTTGAGCCGCTGTCGGTCCTTCTTGAGCCCCATCCCCATACCCATCCCCATACCCATACCCATGCCCATCCACATCCCCATCTCGCTCTATCTGTGTGTTACAGGTGCCTTTTCTGTTCAGATGCATATGCATCCCCTCCGCATTTTAATTGTGAGCCCGGCTCGGAGAGGCTTGCTTCACCTGCACCGCAGCCGAGCTGCAGCCGAGCCGAACCCAGGAACCAAACCAAACCAACCAAACTGACCTAAGACATCTTTTTTGCTCTTGCTGCACGCGGCCGCCCGGGCTCTTCACCTTTTTTAGCCGCAACTATTATTTTTATTAATAGCCAAAGTCAAAAGTCACCTGCCCAGGGACAGACCAGACCAAAAGGTGACTCTGGCTCTGGCTCTGGCTCTGACTCGGGGTTAGGGCTAAGGCTAAGGCTAGGGGTAGCCGGAAAACGGAACCAAACTGAATAGAAGGGAAGGGAAGGGAAGGGAAAGGAAAGGTAAGGACGTGCACATGCCCATGTTGCGGGTTCTAGGCCTCTTCAAGCACCACTTCTAAGATCAATTTCCTCTTCACCGTTTTCCCCTAAGAGTTTTCCCTCGATTCTTATTGTTTGCATTGGGGTTGCAGCTTTCATTTCATTTCATTTCGTTTCGTGTATTTTTATAGTTATTCTTTTTTTGGTGCTCTTTTGTTTTTCATGGGGGCTTGGCCCGACTCTTGGCCTGGCTGTTGAATAAATTCCAAACGGCATGACAAATTATGTGGGCTCAGGTGTTACGCGGAAAAAGGGGTTAACAAACCGAGAGCTGTAGATGTAGCTGGAGCTGGATAGTGACTCCAGCATATGGCATCGAGTGTTTTCCACTTATCTCTAAGTATATCTTATCGGTTCTCCGAGGTCTCTACGAATGAAGGTGGCATGTGCGGATCTTCAATCACTTTTACTTTCATGTCAGAACGAATATCCCGACTAAAATTGAAGTATTTTTTATGGCATCTGCAATCTGCAATCATTGGAGCTTATCGCTCCGCAGAAAGCCCCGTTTTCATGTTTTCTATAACGCTGTTCCATACAATCTATGACTTTTCCTGACTATCTGGAATACATATGTATCGATGGTAGACCCTTTTCTGTAAGTCTTAGCCTTGATGATATTCCCTCTGTTTCGTCAGCTGCCTGACGCCAAGATGTAAGCAAAACTTTCATCTATGGCACGGCGAAGGGCCAGGGGCAGGGCCAGGGCCAGGGCCAGGGCCCATGTTGTGTCTACATTCTTTGGATCTTTGGCCTCACTTTGTCGGCACTGGCCGAAAAGTCCTTGAACTGCATTTTTCTGTGGCAGCAATTGAACTGCATATTTCTCTCTCTTTCTCCTTCCAGTGGTTCAGGCGTTCCTTTGTTTTTTTTGTGGTTCAATATTTTGTCAATTTCGATCAATTTGTGGCGCGCCAAAGCCGGGATCCAGTTCTGCGGGGGGATTCGTCTGAGTGAAATCCTTCGACGACTGTTCGCTCGCTGATTTCTGATTGCGGCCAACGATGAATGGCGATAATGAGGGGAGTCGGTGATTTGTAAACTGCCAAACTTCATTTCGGGCGTTTTAAAGTGCCGCAAAATGCATTTGGACATTTCGATTACCGAAAATTGCGATCAGCAATCCTCAATGACCATTGCCTCTGTCCCTGGGCCTGAGGCTGGTGCTGAGCCTGGTGCTGGGCCTGGGCCCTGGCCTGTGCCTGTGCCTCTTCCGATCTGCTCACTCCTTTTCTCACTTTATTTCGGCTGCAATTAGTTCGAACTTCGAACACTTATTGGCGTTTTCCCAAAGGAGCGCAGGGGCGGAGGAGCAGGAGAAGTACCTGCTGTAACGCGGCGGCTTACAAAGGGCATTCCCAGGATGCCACATGGACCACAGATCAAAGATCACCGCGTCACCCGGCTAAAGAAACAGGAGCAGCAGCAGGAGCAGTGAAGCAACTTATTCCCCATCAATTGAGTACGTGCAGGAATTTATCTATAAAATCAGGTTTTCGGCCAAAACCCCCGAAAAAGAAATATTTGGAACGCTTTGGACAATTTGTAATAAAATGTGGGACGACTTCAAAGGAGGAGGCTGTGTCCTTGATGCTAAGGAATGCTTCTCATTCGGTCTGAGGGGCAGGCAGATGGAGAGCTAATGAGATATTAACCGCATATTTATGAAGTCATTTCTATGAATATTCATCTGTCATTTCCCCCTTCCCCCTTTGATGCTCCTTTGGTGAGCCAATACCCAATTAAATTTCATTTTCAAATTTCTTCTCTTTTAGCTTTCAACTTTATTTAAAAAAAAAATATCATATGTTATCTAAACTATTATTATAATGTTACAAATAGTTACAAAAATCATTGGATAAATTATAAAATTAGAATAAACTAAAAGATTCACCACGTAATTCGTATAAATAATTGGGGTGGGGTAAGGTGGGGTGTGCAATCAACTTAAATAAATTAGGATTTAATAAAAATTTGGACAAGTTATCTGTTCAAGGGCTCAAGCTCTTTGCCAAGTTGGTTGGAAATTTCTTGTTGGTTGTTCTTTGGTACGTTTAGCTGCCAATTTGGGGTTAAGTTTAAACCAAATAAAAAAAAACGCTAATGGAATAAATTAAATTAATGAATTATTCTAGAGTGTAACATACATATGGTTTGTAAGAGTAAGTCTTGTTTGGTCTGCTATTTACAGAGAGGGAGCCCCCCAAGCTTAGGGCTAGAATTGAGCAAGTTTCTTAGCTAACAAATGGGAGATCTTAACATCCCCTAACAATAGATCTCTTTTGTGGTTCATCTGTGCGAAGGCCAAGACAAAACAAACTTTGGCTTCCTAGCAGCGACTTAGACGGGGCCACCGCCACCTCCTGCTTCCTCCACCTTCTTCTTGGACGCGCTCAGCTAATACTGGGATCCGATCCCCGAGGGAGCTCGGTTGCTGGTGGCTTACGAGTACGAGCTGTTGCCTGTCAACAGCTGCTGCTGCTGACCTCCATTTTGAGCAGCGTGGGTGGCCTCAGATCCTCGACGGGTGCCTCCTCGTGGCGGCTCTCCCGATGCCGCCGCAGGTCCACCTTCCGCTGGAAGGACTGATCGCAGAGGCCACAGCCGAAAGGCTTGTAGCCCGTGTGCTTACGCATGTGCGTGATCAGGTTCGAGCTCTGGCTGAAGGCTTTCAGGCACACCGTGCACTTGTGCGGCTTCTCGCCTGGAAACGGAAATAAATCAATAAACAATTAGCCAAATGAAAAGCGTACAAAGTTTATTAATTGCGGAGTCGCTGCGAGTCGCGGCTTTACAGCAATTAGACAAATTGAAAAGCGATAGAAATCTTGCCCAATCGCTGATTTTGGGGGAGCCGTTTGACACATTTGCATAGGGCCAAAGGTCAGGAATTACTGGGGTATTCTGATTTGAATGGAACATGAAGCTTACCTGTGTGGATGTATGTGTGCTTCTTCATGTCGGACTTCTGGTGGAACCGCTTGCCGCAGTACTGGCAGGGATATGGCCGGGTATCGCTATGGATGAGCAGATGTGTCGAGAGGGTGGACGAACGCTTGAACGACTTGCCACACTGTTTGCACTGGAATGAACAAAAGGGTGTGGAGGCATAAAGGTTGTGTTTAATTTTCAAATAGTACGAGTCACGATTAAGCCCCCCGAAAATGCCCCATATTTGAACAGCCTGCATCTGTATCTGTATCTGTGTCTATATCCCCAAAAAGCAAATCTGAAAAAGGAATATCCAACCAGCCAACACAATCTGTCTATATATACCTACTCTCTGTTATTGTGTGTGCGTGCCAAATTCTCAACAGCCACATGAATTAAACTAGATTTGTGAGTGCACAAATATTTGTCGCCAAGTGACGATAGAGCCAAAGCACGGAGGGAAAACCCAAAGCCAAACTTTGGCCCCCCGACATATTATTCGATTAATGGCGATAGATTCTCTCGCCTCGCATCGCCTCGCCTATTTTTGCATTTCACTGCGGAGAAAACAGCTAATCAAACAGGGTGGAAAGGGGGAATGGATTCAGCTCAATGCTAAATCTCAAGTGAGATAAATTCTGTGGATCCGAGTGATACGATATTTGTAGGCCAAACACAGCTGTGCCCGACTGAAGCCCGATTGGGGATTGGGGATTGGGGAGGAAGGAGGAGGGAGGAGGGGCTTGGGGATCGGGTATTGGGTGATCGAGCTCCCTGTAACATCTTCGGTTGTCAGATTAAATGTTTAAACAGTTTGCGTGTTGCAGCAACATGCATGTACTCGTATCTAAACATTGACACACTCTCACAGATACCAGAACAACACCCGACGACTCAAATCGTTCACCAGCTCCCCAGCTACGTGGGCGACATTTATTAAAAAAAAAAAACAAGAAAAAGAAAAAGAAACAAAAACAAAAAAACTGGGAAAAAGTGAAACATTTTTCAAAAACCCAACTTGCTCTACGCATATTGTAAATTGACACAAGTGTCTGTTATTTCTTCGTTTCTTTTTTTTAATTTCTTTCACTCTTTATGTATCTTTCAGTGTCTTGTTTTTTGGGATTTTCTATTTGCGGATTGCATTTGAGTGGACCATATCCCCATATCCATATCCATATCCATATCCATATCCACATAGTACCTCAGTATGTATCTCCATATAGGCTAGACCCAATTAGTTGCTCTATTGTTAAGCTCGGCTTGACTCGACTCTGACTCTGACTCTTACTCTTACTCCGACTCTGAGCCATAATGTCAATTTGCTTAGCTTCGACAACGAAACGGAAGTTGGCGAAGCACAAAAAATACAGGGCGGGGGTGCTGGTGGGGGTGGGGGTGTAGGGGAGAAACCCCAAAGGTCTGACTCAGCCGGGTGGGCCTCCTACAGGGAACAGATGTAAGAAATTACAGAAAAAATAAGACTCAATTTATATATAAAAACAATATAAAAACTCAGTCTCCATCTGCGTCTGCGTCTGCGTCTGCGCCTGCGCCAATGTCTCTGGACTCTGGCAACTGTCTTCGGCCATATGGCGGCCGGCCTGGAAACCTTTTTTTTCGGTCCGGCCTATCGCATTTCACTGACCCTCGATGGATGTGTGAAAAAAGCGGAGAGGGACACCGACATCGGACTCGGACTCGGACTCGCGGCGGGTGTTGATGGATATAAACGCAATATGACATCGGGGGTAGTCAGAGCATGAACCCGGCTTGGCCATAAGCGAAGAAGCCTTCTCGAATTCCACATGGTCGTGTGCCCCTGGCACTGGCAGGGTTAATGCGTCGGAAAAAGGGGGACAATCCAATATCGAAATGACAATTATGATTGTAATTTGTACATAAATCCTCCGAAAGAGTGTCCCTAGCGCCCCACACTCCCCCAATCAAAATTATTTGATTAACTAATTGCGTGATTTCGATGGGACTTAATTGAATTTCCATAGAGCTCTCTCTCATGTCTATCCTGTCGCTCCTGTCGCTCTTGTCGCCCCTGTCCTGTCGGTTTTATTACAGTATTTGCTGTGCCACTTTTCCAAATTGAAATAATGGTGGGAGGAGGGTTAGGTCTAGGCACTATCGATATCTCCGAGGACAATTAAAACTGTTCGAGGACGAAATATGAAACAATTAACACAAGGGAATTGCCAAAGACACGCAATGCAAAGCGGGTCTTATGCAATGCAAGTACTCCTCCGAAAGGGCTGGCGCTGAGTCCTCCCCAGGACTGGACACGTGATAAACCCATTAGAGACAGTGCCGCTGCGAATGCCCACAGATTTACGATCGATGCTGTCGGTGAACCACAACAATCTCTGAAACATTTCCGCTAGTCGCGATTCCCCGATTCCCCGTTTCCCGATTCGATATCCTGTTTGACTGGGCTTACCTGGAAATTCCTGCCGCTGCGCTTCTCCTCGCACTCGCCCTGGTATGAGGACGAGGAGGAGGATCGGCGCGCAACATCTGTGGCGGTCGAATCAGGATGTTGCTGCTGCTGCTGCTGCTGATGCTGATGATGTTGCAACTGTTGCTGCTGCTGCTGCTGCTGCTGATGGGGCTGCTGCTGCTGTTGTTGTTGGTGTTGATTACGCATATAACCGAATTCGGCGGCTGCCACCAGGCCCATAAGCGCCGCTGCCGAATGGTTATCCTGCTGCTCGCTGGCTGCCTCATCCTTGATGTGTTGCTGCTGCTGCTGCTGCTGCTGGGACTTTAGGTGCTGGGTGAGCAGCTCAAGATTGTTGCCCGTGAGACCGGCCATGAAGGCGCTGCGATGGGCGTACAGCTGCTGTTGGGCCACCTCGAAGTCCATGTCCTGGACAGCCTTGGTGGCCTGGGGTGCGGATAGCGAGGAGATCGGCGACTGCAGGGAGGAGACAGAGGCAGCCGACCGTCGCTCGTACTTGAACTTCCTCACAATGGGATCCACCTGGGGCTCATCTTCCTCGTTGTACTCGCTCTGCTGCTCCCTTCTGGCGGATCTCTCGCACATCGAGGCTGGCGACCAGATGATGTTTCCCTGCGATCTCTGTCTCTGCTGCTGCGGGGTTCCCGTAGTCTTCAGATTGACCGCCCTCAGGGGTGGCGGTGTGACGTTCAGGGCGCCCATGGGATGCACTGCTTCCGAATCGCTAAGGCTGCCACCGCTGGTGCTGCTCCTGCTGCTGTTGCTGCTGCTGTTGTGGTGTAGATGGCGGTGGTAGTGCTCCTGCTCCGACTGGTCCGCCTTGCTCCGCTCCTTGGTGCTCAGGTTCAGTGGCATGTCCTCGTCCTGCTCCTCCAACATCTGTTTCTTGTTGTTGTTGTTGTAGTTGTTGTTGTTGCTGTTGCTGCTGTTGTTGTTGATGTTGTTGTTGTTGATGTTGGTTGTGTGCTGCATTTCCTGCTCCTTCTCTGGGGTCAGAGCGTAGTCCCGATCACGCTGACCCAACACTATGGAGGCAGGGGACTTAGGAGTCATGGGTGTCAAAGGTGTCCCCAAGGCTGTGGCGGATGACAGCAGGAACTGCGGCCACAACAGGGCACTGGAGTACAGCAATGGGTTATAGAGAAAGGGCAGATCTGCGGGAGATGATCAAAAGGGATCGATAAAATACTATGCGATGCAAGGGAGCGTTTGAGCAGTTCTAGGATCGTTGAATCAATCTAGAAAATGTACTATATTTCCTTGATTATATTAGTGCAGCTATCCTATCTTTCAGATAGAATAATGATACAAAAAAGCAGAACTGCGAAGCAGGAGCCTTCTTCGAAACCTTCCAAGCCCATGAGAGATCTTCGATCCTTGCACTCACCTCTTCCGTTCAGCTTCTGGGCTGCTGCCGAGGCAATCACAGTGTTGAAGGCGGACGCCCGTTGCATCCACTGCTTGTCCAGGGCTGGTCCGGAGTAGCCTGCTGGACTGGGCTGCTGCGAGTGCGGCGATGGCGGCGGCGACAAATGATTCATTTTTGGGGCTCACTGTTTCTGCACTGGCTCAATTTGTTTATAATTTTTGTTCTTTAGTCACTTCAAAAAATGTCACTTTCGTTGAGCTGATCTTCGGTATTGAACGGATCTTTTTTATACAGATATCTAAGTTTTTTTGGGCAATTCTTTTACTCTCAGAAGACGAACACGTCCGTATCGCTCGGTGCTTCGCACCTGACTGAATCTTTGGCCGATTGCTCGGTTCTAAATTGAGCCAACGGTGAAGCGTTGTCGCCGACTGACTACTTGGCCCGAAAAAAAGGTACGTACTACCACATTGAGCTCTGTGTTTTTGTCCGACTGCACGGGTGTGTGTGTGAGCGTGTGTCTGTGCGTCTGTGTGTCTGTGTGTGGCAGCAAGCCGAATCAAAACGAGCCCTCTCTGTGTTGGTGTTGACTTTTGCTGGTGGTGGCTGGCTCTGAAGCCCTTGTCTGTACGAGTATCTGTGTGTGTGTGTGTGTGTGTGTTTGTGTTACCAACTCTGGTTTTTCACCTTTGGCAGCAGTTGGCGGCTGTTGCAGTTGCAGTTCCTGCTGCCGCTGCTGCTGCTGCTGCTGATGTTGCTGATGTTTCTGCTGATGTTGTCCTGCATGTTGTAAGGGTCAAGACGCACAGTTAGGCAGAGATCGGCTCTCCTGCCCCTGCCCCTGCCCCCGCCCCTTTCCCATTCCCATTCCCAGTACCCTCTATTAGTATCAGTGGCTTTGATCGTGCTCTCCCTTCTATCCTGCGAGTGCTCCTCCTGCTGCTGCCGCTGCTGCTGCTGCTGGTTCTCTTTCTGTTTGTTGGCAGCACGCGTTTCCCTACTAATTGGTATGCAGTTTGGTTTGGCGGGCGTTTGCTGTCCTTTTCTTTTCTTGCCGCATTGTAACTGTTACATTTTGTGTTACTGTTCTTGCCACCAACTGTTGTTGGCTCTGACACACTTGAGAGACGAAGATGGAGCGAGAGAGAGAGGGAGAAGGAGAGTCGGATGGTTGAGGAAGGTAGCGGTGGAGCGGGCGGAGGCGGTGCCCGGGGAGGGTTGACTTACAAATATTTATGTATGTGGATGGATCTATACATCTAACATCTGTCACGGACATTCTCTGCATGTGCAATCGGATTGGGAATTCAATTTAGATACAATTTTGATTAAACTATGATTAGCTCAATTCAATTCATTTATTCTTCGTGTTTTAAAGCTTGGGACTATTTAATTTATCACCTATAGGTGTTTTTTCAAGTGCAAATTAATGCTGAAAAATGTATGAAAATGTTACCTAAAAAAAGATTTTTTATTGGATCTAATTATGATAAGAGAGGAGATTTTTTAAGCGGTTTCCATGTCCCATGACAAATTTAAAGTTCGGCAACAAATTAATCTTTGGAAAGTGGATCAATAAACCAAACTATTATTCTAATATTTTCTTTTGAATTTGTAAATTTTTAAATTCTTGCAAAATACTTTTCTAAATTTGTTAAACGAATTATTATAAAAGTACTAAAATTTTATGTTATCTCAATTTCAAATAAACAAATAAGTCTGACAAAAAAAAGTATCTTAAATTGAAAGGGCTTGGATATTGGATGGGATTGAATTGGAACCCAATTGTGTCGACGCTTTTATTTTGCGAAAACAGGAGCACCAACTTTTGCGCTTTCAAAAGTAAATCGCTAAGTTTTTGCGAAAGTGAAAACCGGAGCCTGCCTGATTGTGTAAGTAGTTTTCAAATGTGGGAATTCCTTTACGTAGTGTTACTTTACCATTAAATTAGTTATTTTTATTAATTTTCTATGTGATTTGAGGGATTGAGAGATATATTAGTAAAGACTAAAGTAAGTAGAGTAGAGTAGAGAGTAGATTCGTGATTATTTTAATGTACTAAATTGATCATTCGTTCGGATATGTTTGTATATCTTCCACAGCTCCCCCCAGCTCCGCCTTCAGAACAATTAAGCATTGAGCTAAGGACATTTAAAAGTGTATCTTTATTGGATCTTTCTTTCACATTAAACCAAATCGGAGGCCTTCACCTGCTGCTTTCTCCGACTATCCCCTTGCTGGTGGTGCTGCTGCTGCTGTTGCTGCTGCTGCACCCTTCGAAACTCGTCCCTCTGCAACATTTGGGTTCCTCCTACCGAGTTAGTCCTTCTCCGGGCCACGCTTGGCCACCTCTCGGTGCAAGACAATTCCAGTTTATCTACGAATATCCTTGGCCCAGCCACACCTGCCTAGAAAACGGAGAAGTGGCGGGAGCACACTTCTTCCACATTTAACGATCCTCTTCCTTCGAGCTGGCAGCAATTTTCTGACGTTTTGGCGCAATTTCCTTGAAAGGACATGTGCAGCACACGGCGGCGACATTCCAGCAGACACGAGCCCGCCACGGGCAGGGGCTAGCGAAGCATGCCGCCGCGGCACGAGAAGTGGCCCCTGGAAGCGGGTCAAAATGGGGGACACACAGCGCACAGCGCACAGCTCACGGCGCACGGCGGCATAGTCATTCATTATGACCGCGATGAGGGCTGGCCAGGGCCAGGTCGCCCTCGTTGCGCTTGACAGCGCTTCTCAAGAGGGCTGAGGGCGCGTGCCTCACTCTCACTCTCCCTCTCCCTATCCATCTACATATCCCTATCTCTCGCTTTGTAACGGATTCACCTTATGCCAGGCAGGCGCAGGCGCATGCGTCGCCATTCACATCTATCATCGTTTGATATGCGCAGTCGCAGCCGGGTCCCACTGTCGTAGGGGTACAGGTACAGGCAACACTCGCACACACACCTTCCATCTATTTCCAATATTCGCCCGTATTGGGCGACATTTTATTCCGGGCCTGAGAGCTTCTGTTTGCTTTTCCACCGCTCTTCCAAACAAATCCAACACGCCGCTCGCTGATTGGTCGGCAGCCGCGAGGGGCGTGTTAGCCGCGTCGGTTCAAACCCGAAACGAGTTTGTATCTGTGTTGGTGGCACTCGCACTGTATCGAACTCTGTGTGCGGCTCCACACTGTGTGGGTTGTATGCACCGTTGGACTTTGGGTTGCTTGAATGGGAAGCAAGGCACCCACTGATGAATGGGCTGCAGTTGAATCACTGAATGGTTAAATAAGGTAGGATTCGAGGAGACATTCAGGATTTTGCGGGATATACTTTGTACAAACATAGATAAAGTATATACAACAGATAAGCATTAGATAAACTGAACATCAGCAGATTTACTACAAAATTCGTACCTTTGACTTTCTTTGAACAATTTCCATGAATTGTAACTCTTTTAGTGGGGCATTGATTCCCACTAACAAAACAAATTCGAAAAATATGCCCATTCCTAAAAAACTAAATCATTTTCAAATGGAAAAGTTGAAGAGATATTTAAAATGGTAGCATTTTAACTTTGGCTCGATGTGTCTTCAGGTACAGTCAACCAATAAAATAAAAATATTTTGGGGGTATATTGCAAATTCCAAGTATGGGTATGAGATCTAGTCATCCAGGCCTACAACCAAATTTTTGTGTTGTGCAAAACGTAAAAAGTACTAAACCACTGTCTATTAAAGTCATAGATTTTCGGATATAAATAAAATTGAATTTTCAAAACATATCGTTTTGATTAAATGTACCTACATATGAACATATATGTACATATGGATGTGTGTATAGCTGACAATTTTCCAAAATCTTTTTGAGACCCTTCCAGTCTTCGTAAGGTATCACGTGATATCTCGTATCTCGTTTTAGGAATGTAAACTGCAGAAATAAAAAAAAAATTTAATAGATTTGCATTTCTTTGCTTTTTTTTACACACGCAGTTCATTGAAATAGTTGTGAAATATTAAAAAAAGATGAAAAAGCATATTGCTAGATCGAGAAGAGAAATCAATGCAAAACATATACCAAGATTGGGAATAGTTGGATGAAATGCCACCGATACGAATCGAGGTCGTGAGCGTAAATCAATAGATAGAGGATAGACGTACATACATATGTAGGTATTGTGCAGTCAAGATCAAGCCGTTAGCCGTTAATAGTTACCCAGGAAGGTAGCCAAAACGGTGGCGAAACATAATGCGGTCGGACGAGAGCGAAGGAGTTTGATTTGGTGCCAAGCCCAGCACACAACCGAAATTCCACCAAGCTACATTATGGTATGGACATGTTTTTCATATATATATTGGTGTCAGTCCTATTCAAATGATTCATGGACAAAAGCGAACATGCGGAAATATGCAAGAGTACACTGCTACCATATGACATCCAAGATGATCCCAAAAAAACACCAGTAAACGCGCCAAGGCCCGGTTTGCCTTTAAGAAGATCGACGTAGTGCTATGGCCAGCGCAGTCTCCAGATCTACATCCAATCTAAAACTTGTGGGGAGATGTTAGAAGAATGGTAGACAGAGCAAATTCTTCAAGTGAAGCTCGTCCTCATTTTGTCAAGTGCCAGGCCGGTGCCAGGCTGCATTGAATTAAAAACGGATTCTCAACTAAATATTGAGCCATAATTAACCTAATGAACATATGTATGCACAATGAAGATAAGTTGAAGTTTCTTTAGTTTTTTTTCCAATTTAAAGCAGCTCCATTCATGTGTATTTGTGTAAATACAAATCGTGAAAAATAAGAAGAAGAGATACGACTCTAAGAGAGTGTTGAAAGTGTTGAGGTACGGCACTACTATTTCATTGAACACAATTTTATAAATCAGTAATCAGTAAGAATGTACACTAGATCTCCAGAGAATTTGCAAAACTAGCCCACGTTCCAGAGGTTTCCCTACTTGGAGTACAGCAGAAATCCTGCGGACTTTTTTGTTCTTGTTCAGCCTCTTCCCACTCGAACCCATCCAAGCCCCTGCCCGATCTCAACTGATTTATCGGACTATCTGCCGACATCATGGCAAAGCACCGAGAGACCATTTAAGCATCTTCCTATTTGTCTCACAGTGGGTGCTAGGCCGGCCTGTTCCAGGCCCAACTGGAACATTCCTTCCAACAAATCAGACGGAAATCTGTAATAAATG